AAAAAAAAAAAAAAAACCATCAAAACTATATGAATGCACGCAAGCATCTGTAAAATTAATATCCTTACAATATGAGGAAATTGTGAAACCCCATGGAAGGAAATGGACCAAATGAGTTTGAATTACATCAAGAAAAATACTAGCAATGGATGTTGCAACATCGATTACTGTGTCACTTAAACCGAAACATATCGTACTAAAATTCGAATTCTGCAATTTTTTCCATGGTATTGTAGCACTCAAAGACTATAAGATGCACGTTCGCGCAATTACTCATGCCAATTTTACGAACCATTTCAGCCTCAAATAGAAAAATATTCCTTAGGTCGAGAATAAAGTCATAGTGTATTAACTGCATAGTCAGTTAACGACACAACTCTTTTAAGATAGTGGTGGAAGTCGTTCGAAACTAGCGAAAAGTGAAACCAGTGTAGATTCATAGTTTTCACGCTCACCGATTAGATCGAAATACAAGTTAAACCAGTTGACTCTCATGTCGGATAAGAAACCAGTTGGCACTCATCCTACAAAAGTCCCAATCGAACCAAGACTATCACGACATAATTTCCTAGAATCCGTAAATCTCTTCGACAAAACTGAGAGCTCGAAAAGTTTATTCACGGGGAGACACGAGAGGTTGGTCTCGATGATAATGTCGACCATGGGAAGATTTTGTGACTCTCACTAGGCGACTTGAGAGGGTGCAAAATTTTGGCTTGAAGGTCGCGAACTCTATCATGCCCGACAACATGTCACATAGATACTAGTCTCCCCGTCAAAAAACTTTTCAACCTCTCGAATTTATAAAATAGATTTAGGTAGTAGTACCTTATATGTGTACAATAGTGGCCAAGGTCTCCCATGTTTTTTGTTCATATACATTTATATATTGAGTTATATTGAATTTTGCACATTATTCCCTACAAAAATTGTTGCTAAAACATGCTCATTTCGACTAGTTTGATAAGCAAACTCGATTAGCTGTTCGTATACATGAATGAACAAATCAAGCGCAAGCTTTTCATGAGTATATATATACACAATCTTCAACAATTGGGCGTCTCATGACAAAATGTGGCAGAAAAATACCAAGTTTGTGATTAAAAGATGACAAAATATGCTGGTGAACTGATTCTGATCTTTGCTTATTTTCTCTTTACTTATTTTCAGAAATTCACTGATTACAATAGTCGATTATGTTTATATGAAACAAAAGTCGGTATATGAAATATTATATGTATATGTTACATTTAGATATAATGTACTACCTCATATTTTTAATATATGTCGTTTTGAGAAGTTGCACACTAATTAAGAATATTTTTTTTGTCAATAATAACCTTATTTAATGAAGATAGAGATGAATGTTTTGAGAAAAAGTGAAGAGTGAATATGAAAAGACGTAATATATTTATTGGCAAAATGAGGGTAATAATAGAAAAATATGTACAAAAGATCCAAAACGACATTTATTTAGCAAATAGTTGAAAAAGCTAGAATGACATTTAAAAAAAAATATGAGGGAGTATCACATACGCATTCCAAAAATTTTAATGCATCAATGCATTAAAATATTTGAAAACATAGGGCATTTTTTATTAGAAGTTTCCAGTTAATGTAACTATGTATGCATAAGATTTATATCATCAAACATATATCAGTAAGGCACTAAAGTTATAAAGTTAGAAATTTGAATCACTCTACATAAACATATTTCTAACCAATGAAAAAGTGTGATATGTTGTTGTAATGATTTGTATGTTTAAAATAGATAATAGAGCGAAATAATTATAAAACTGCACACATACTAAGAAAAATTAAAGAGTACATCAATAAAGATAGAAATAGAAAAGATTCAGAAATCCAGCTCATAAACTGTGATTTAATCATAGAGTAGGATGGAGTTGATGTAGTTTGACTGTTTTCAAGCGTGAAATCAAAACAACTCAAACTTTAAATTTCATTTTTTTTTTTTTTTTGTGATTTAATCCAAGAGTAGGATGTAGTTTGACTGTTTTCAAGCTATAACGAGTTCAACGTGAAATAAAAAAACTCGAATTTTAAATTTCATTTTCTTTTTCTTTTTTTTTCAATGATCAAGTCAGTACCGGGCCACATAATACACAGTCCGGTTGTGGCTTGGGTCAGGCGGTCGATGGGGACAACGGGCCAACTTGGCACGGGAGTCAACCTGCTAATTGTCAATTTTCAAACACACTTTCCTGTAAGAATGAGAACGAGAGGCTTAATTATAAAGTAACAAAAGAAATAAGAAACAGAGGAGAACACAACAATAGAACCGAAAACTTATTTAATTTGTACAATTCTTAAAACCAATATATGCATATCATTTTTCATTATTTCAACC